GGGGTTGGGGTTGGGGTCAGGATTGGGGTCCCTGCCCTCTTTCGGGGTTGGGGTCAGGATTGGGGTCCCTGCCCTCTTTCGGGGTTGGGGTCCCTGCCCTGTTTTGGGGTTGCGGTCCCTGTCCTGGTTCAGGGTTGGGGTCCCTGCCCTATTTCAGGGTTGGGATTGGGGTCCCTGTCTTGGTTTGAGGTTGGGGTCTCTGTCCTGGCTCGGGATTGGGGTCCCTGTCCTGGTTTGGGGTTGGGGTCTCTGCCCTTATTTGGGGTTGGGGTCTCTGTCCTGGTTGGGGTTGGGGTTCCTGCCCTGTTTCGGGATTGGGGTTGGGGTCCCTGCCCTGGTTCAGGTTTGGGGTCCCTGCCCTCTTCCGGGGTTGGGGTCCCTGCCATGGCTCGCGATTGGGGTTCCTGTCCTGGTTTCGGGTTGGGGTCCCTGCCCTGTTTCGGGGTTCTGGTCCCTGTCCTGGTTCAGGGTTGGGGTCCCTGCCCTGTTTTGGGGTTGGGGTCCCTGCTCTGGTAAATGGTTGGGGTTTCTGCCCTGGTTTGGGGTTGTGATTGGGATCCCTGTACCATTTCAGGATTGGGGTCCCTCAGCCTGTTCCTATCACCTCTCTGGGGTCAGAACCCTCCTTGGGTTACCCAGAACCGACCCCACTGTCACCCCAGACCCCAATCCCTTCCCAGACCCCGATCCCTCCCCAGACCCCGATCCCTCCCCTCCTGAGCGCTCTGGGGTTTTGGGGAGCAGCAGCCAGAGGTGTGGGAGTGACCCCAGCGCAGCCCTGCTGTTCACAACCACAGGATTTTGATGCCAAAACCAAAAAAATCATCACTTGCTGATAGATTTTGGAGAAGCTGAAGCCATTCCTTGGCTCCTGGGTGCTGCAAATTTCCGAGCAGGCGTCAGTGAATTCAGCTCCAGATTTATTAGGGTGGAATRTTCTCCGGCCCAGCCCTTCCCTCCATTGACACGGCGTTTAATTAATCCATAAATCAGACGCTATTTAGCGTGGCAAACAGAGAGCGCGGTTTGGGGGAGCTGGAGCTCTCTGAGAACGGGCCAGGCATGAACTCAGCTCCTTTTAAAATCCTCCCAATTCACCCACAGACGAAATAAATGYGTCCAAAAGTGCCAAAAACTCGGAATTGTTGGGGTTGGACGGGAGCTTTGTGGGGTCTGTGGGGACATTCGGGTTTTGATTGGGAGGAAGCGCAGCTATTTTCGTTTGTTTTAGCAAACCTGTCGGGAAGGGAGGAATATTCTGCTTTTATCACCCCTGTATCTCATCAGCACACGCATCCACCT